CTAGGAACAAATACTCAACACTAAATACCAGTAGTCTATTGGCAACGCTGTTAAACCTAACATTTGAGAATTAAAGATATTATAGCATTTTATTACTATTTTGGCTTCACACTAAAGTAATTAAGTTTATCTTTAATTATATAAAAGTGACAAATAACTAGTCTTTGCTTTAGTTGATATTTATGTAATAATACAATGTATTTAGTCTGATTTATAAGCTACCTGTCAGTCTAAGACTATAAGAAAGGTAACTAGTCAATGTCATCCTCTACCAACTCTTGGGGTGTTCTAATCAAATAGTGGGATTTAATCATCACTTTATTACACACTTACGGTCGCAAAATATGGAGGGCAATTTTTTTTTTACACTAACAGCGGAAAATCCACTGTTCCAGTCAGTATACTAACTACTGAGCCATGCTCAGCTCTTTTTATAGGAATTTTTTGTTATGGTAATTGTGTTTTACAGATTGCAGTCTGTTTGACAACCATAAAAAAGTGCTTAACAGTTCATGTTGATCTTAAAAACAAACATACAGTTTCTAATTCATTATACAACTAAGTATGTCAGACAAAACACAAAAAGGGACACATCTAAAGTATAAATGAAAAGAACTTGATGTGATCTTCTTTGAGTAGTGTGCTAAGGAACATTTTAAGATCGTGTTTATCTTTATTATCTCAAAACATCATGAACATATAAGCAAATAACATTTTCTACTTGTTTTGAGGAAATGCTTCTACCAACTGCATCTGAGTACCATCTCAGTCAGGTTTGTTTAACAGCAAACCCTTCAAATATCTATAAATCTAACCTGAAAGATGTGAATGAAAATAACAAAGCTTTAAATTTTTCCCATAATACATTATGTGTAGAAGTTATTAGAATTACAGTATGGCAATAATACATTTGATGGCATGCTGCAGGATTTGATGAAGTGATATTAATATATTATAAACAAAGTGTCTATGGTTTAAATCACAGAAGATCACCTATAAAATTTCAGTATAATTATTTTTTTACTGAATGTTTAGCTGAAAATTAACATTTTCCTAAACTTAAAATGTATTTCCAATAGGCACTTACCTCTTCTCGACTTATACTGCACTCTAATGCGCAAATTGTCGCTCGCCACCTACCCTCACGTGAGACATCTGTATGCTATTATGAAAATGTCATGCAGCAGCCCTCCACCAAAAGGCGTGCAACACAACTCCTATCGTTATTAGTGCCCTCTCTCCCATGCAGCCCGTAATCACTTTGAGATTGGGCAGTACATAAAAAACCTACAACGGAAGTGGGGAGGTCAGGTGGGAGGAGGTATGTATCTATGGGAAATGCATTTTCAGTGTAGGAAAATGTTAAATTCTAATACAATATCTTATCTCTTTTCACAAATAGCTAGAATCCCACATTGAGTTGGTGGAGGGTCTGGTTATAAGATGAAACCCCTTTAGAAGCACCCAAAGGAAGATCATTGGGTGAGCGAATAAACAGAAGGCAACACACCTGTAGGAGATTCATCATTTCTGAGTTAGGTATACTCTTTCCCCCATGTGAAAATTGTGTAGCAATAAGGGTAGAAACAATGGACCACCCCAGTTTAATCATGTGTACACACCCAACATGACCATCATCATATCTGCTTGGAACTGACATCTGGGGGACAGTAGAAAGGTGGACAGCAAAGTGGGGTGCATCTCCGGTTCATCACCAAGCAGCATTGGGAATATATTGCCCAGTACACAGTAGGAGGAGGGTACTCAGCCACACACGTGTGAAATTAAGGGACCCCAGGTGTAGAGTGGCTAGGGTACATTGGACTGTAAATGGGACATTAGCCTCAACCAACACCAGGCAAACTGTGATAGTGATATCGGGACCACATTAGGAAAAAGAGTCCTCCACCTTTTACCTCTGATACAGGAACTGGTAGGAAAGATGAGCCTCTGTACCAAGGATCCACATCATCATATGTGCAAATCCAACACAACCATCATCATATTCGCTGGGAATGGACATCCAGGGGATGATAAGGTGGACAGCAAAGTGTGGGGGTGCATCTCCAGGCAGTTGTGAATGTATTATCCAGTCTGTGGTAGAAGGCAGTTACCCAGCCACACACATGTCCAGCTCCAACCATCATCATATCTGCTGGGAACTGACATCCGAGGGCCAATAGGAAAAAGGGTGACTCAGGCAGAGGGGTGAATTGAATGTTGGTGGAATGCATCCTCCAACACCTGATGACATCTGGAATTGTACATCAGCTTCACAATAGGGTGAGTGTCGATGCCATCTACACCAGCAGAATACCACAGGCTGTCAAAATACACATTCTTATGTTCAGGCATACCCTCACCTGGTAATAGAGGATAATCATCCTGCAACTCAGAAGACTGCAAAAAGGTAGCCAACTCCCTCAGAATATACCTGTTACTTCCTCAATAGAAAAAGTATGCCCTGACGCCATTTGAAGCTCCAAATGCAAGTTAAAAAAAAAGATTTGAAAAACACAGAAAAAAATATATGGTTGTGGTAACACTCGAAACATGAGCGAAAAAATTAATGAACTAGTAAATGAAAAACGAAGACAAGGAATTAATCTACTCTAATTCGAAAAAGAAACAATCAGCAGGAGAGCACGAGCTAAAACACGCGCTATCAGTAGGACAATAGGAGTTGTGTCTCACTCCTGTTGGTGGAGGGTTACTGCACGATAGCATGCAGATGCCTCATGTGAGGGTAGTAGGGAGTATTAAGGCTAATGGCAAGCGAAAATTTGCTCATAAAGAGGGCAGTATAAGCCGAGAAAAGATATTTGAGAGAAGAGGTAAGATATCGTATCGGAACTAGTACTTCACAGGTTAAATTGCATAGCTAGAATATATAACTTTTTCTGTGGTACAAACTTCAGTTTATATAGTAGACTCTGGTCTGGAGTTGGCATTCTCATACAGAAGATTTGCTGTCATGGTGTGCCATGTCTTCCTTTGATATGCCATTCTGATGCATCCTGCGTGGTCGAGTTGTATCCATTCACATATGTCTTTCATCCAATTCCTTCTTGGTCTCTTTCCATTGATCTTGCCCTCCAATAATGTTCTCTGACCACATGACCATAATATCTACACTTTCGTTGTTTTAACGTATTAAGTAACGTTCTTCTAGCTTTAATCCTTCTAAGTACCTCTTCATTGGTCACTCTTTCTTTGTAAGATATTCTCAGCATTTTTCTGAATATCCACATTTCAAATGCATTTATCTTCTCCTTCATATTCTTGTTGATTGTTCACGTTTCACCAGCATATATAAAAGAAGACAGTACATAGCATCTAGCTAGTCTCTTCTGCCGTGATGATTTGACCTAGATATGCGAATCTCATCACCTGTTCCAGATAGACTCCATCGACTGTGATGTTTATCCATTCTATGTCTTGATGTTATCTGCTTACTATCATCGTCTTCGTCTTTTTGGTGTTATTTCGAGTTCAAATTCTGTGTTTCTTATCTTAACCTCATCTACAATCTGTTGTAGTCCTTCTGCTATCAAAGCAGTGTCGTCTGCATATCTGAGATTTGTAACATTCACTCCACCAATGCTTACTCCAGGTAACTTATCAGTCTTTGAAAATGTCCTCTGTATACGGGTTAAAAAGTTTTGGTGAGATTATAAACCCCTTTCTTACTCCTCTTTTTAATATGAAATTCTTCTGATTCATTATCATCCAACTTGATTGATGCTGTCTGCTGCCAGTATAGATTTTGAATGAGCCTCTCGTCCTTATCATCTATATTGATCTTATCAATAACTTCCATTAGCTTCGGGTGGTATACTCTGTCAAATGCCTTTTTATAGTGAATAAAACATTATTAATAAATAAATATCTGTCAAGTATTGTCCTGATATTGAATATTCTTTCTCTTGTGCCTTTGCCTGGTCTAAATCCTGACTGTGTTTTACCGATGTTGTCCTCTATAACTTTGTCGTTTCGCCTCATGATGATCTTAAGTATGGTTTTAATAAAGTTTCTCATAAGGCTGATAGTCCTATGCTCAGAGCACTCCATTGCTTTTGGTTTCTTAGTTATTTTAATAACGAGAGAGTGCTTCAGATCGTATGGTAGGTGTCCACTGTTGTAAATTCGATTGCACAGATTTGTAACAATCTTAATACCATCTTCATTAAGTGCTTTTAGATATTCAGCAACAGTCTCATCCTTTCCTGGTGCGTTCCCATTCTTTAGATTCTTGATTACCCACTTAATCTCTGACTCTACTGATGTTATTACCCAACTCATACATTATGGTCTGTTGATATCATTATACAGTTCAGAAATGTACTCCTTCCAACGATTAGCAACTTCTTTCCTTTCAAACCCGATGATGCCATCTTTGTCTTTGATACAAGCACCGTCTGCTTTCCTTCTGTCTGTGAGTTCTTTCACTTTCATCTTGAAATATCTTTTTAGTTATTTTATTTCATCAAACTATTTTTGTACCATATTTCTTTTGCCTCTTTGCTGTTATTTTATTTTCTATGAGTTCATACTCTGGCGTGTTTTTCTTCTCCCTTCTCTTGTCCATCATTTCACGTATGGCATCTGTCATCCATCTTTTCTCCTTAGTAGACTACTGCTCCTTTTAATAATTGTTTTCAACCACAGCTAGTATGAGCAATTAGTGTTTGTTTTTAAAATTAAGTAAGTGCTGATTTTTAACGTTCAAACAAGTTAACTTTCAATGCCAAAACTAATAAATATTTACATTTATTTTTAATTTGTGCTACTAGGTATAAATAAACATTGTGTGCATAACCCTAATTTTATGAGAAGATCAGGCTAGAATTCCTTTAACAACTTATATAATGTTAAATTATTATGTTTGTCTTAATACATTTTTACAGTTGTTAAAGTTCCTATACGTTTTCTTTCTTCTGTAACAAGGTTTCATAGATACGTGTGCATGTTAAGTCTAATAAGAAAGTTTTTATCAACAGATATGGTGTGCAAAGTATGAGAACGTGGATATTTTACAATTATCAAGAATAAGCAATTATGCACTAGCTCAATACAGGTGAGTCAGATGATTCAAATTATTCTTTTTACATTATTTAAACAGAATATATCAGACTATTTTTTAGCAAGGATAAATCAATATGATTAAAACACGAATTTCAACATCAGTATGAATCAAAAAATATTTCTGGTGCATAGAATTCTTGTCCTAAGAACATATTAAAATCAATACTGCTTGACTCACCATTGCCTTCTTTAGAGTAATGTAGGTAGATAACACTACCTTACTCATCATCACTTTCTTTAGAGTAGTGTAAGTATATAACACTACTTGACTCATCATCACTTTCTTTAGAGTAGTGTAAGTAGACAACATTACTCATTATGTTCTAAGGATTAGTGTATATAGAGAAACTACTTGACTCATCATGTTCTATAGAGTAATGTATATGAACTGCTTGATTCGTCATCATGTTCTACAGATTAATTTACATAGATAACGCTGGAGTAGTGTATATAGAGAAACTGCTTGACTCATCACGTTCTACAGATTAATTTACATAGATAACACTGGAGTAGTGTATATAGAGAAACTGCTTGATTCATCATGTTCTACAGA